GCTCAGTCACCAGTGCTCAGTCACCAGTGCTCAGTCACCGTGCTCAGTCACCGTGCTCAGTCACCGTGCTCAGTCACCGTGCTCAGTCACCGTGCTCAGTCACCAGACCCGCAAGGCTGCCGCAACCAGGGTCCCTGAGGCTCGGCTGCTGCTGGAGATGGTAGCAGACTGGGCCTCACCACGTGGTGCTGTTCTGCTGGAAGGCGGGGAGGCCGGCCAAGTGCTGAGGGTCAGAGTCCCGTGGGGAGCCCTGAGGACAGAGCCTGGAGTGTGAGGAGGGAGGTGAAGAAATGCCAGGAACGGGGGACCTTGTCCTGGGAAAGCCGCAGGCATCCAGCAGAGACAAGCCAACAGGAACCACTGGGGCTGCCCCAGAGGGGCCACAGGGACAGCTACACAAGCCCTCGGGAGAGGACGTCTCCAGGCCGTGTCCCCCAGGTGCTGGACACGGAGCGAGGACTTGTTGCCCAGCGGGTTCTGGTCTTGCTTTGCTCCCAGTCCTTCTTTTGATGGGATGGAAATGTTCACTCTGTGTCTTTTTTTTTCTTTTTTTTGAGGTGGGGGATGAGGCATTGAACCCAGGGGTGCTTAACCACTGAGCCACATCCACAGCCCTTTTGTGTTTTATTTAGAGACAGGGTCTTGCTGAGTTGCTTAGGGCCTCGCTAGGTGGCTGAGCCTGGCCTCAAATTTGTGATCCTCCTGCTTCAGCCTCCTGAGCTGCTGGGATCACAGGCGTCCACCACGGCACCCAGCTGAAGGGACCACTTCACACCCCATAAGACAGCTCCACTCTTCACACAGCAGGAGGTCAGCACCGAGGACAGGGAGGATCCCTACCCTCCTGCTGGCCGGGGATCTGCTGTGGAAACCACCGGTGCCTTGGAAGACCCCCACGTGGAGTCAATTCCAGGCCTGCGGGGGTGGAAGCCAGACAGGCACGGCGCTCACAGCATGGACCTTCGTCATAGCCCCGCGCCCACCACAGACGCGCAGGCAGCACGGTCCTCTGCACAGGGCAGCCCCAGCCACAGAAGGGCACGAGGTTCTGGCACCTGCCGGGAGGATGGCTGATTCCAAAGAGAGCGTTACCAGGGGCGCAGAGGGTCGTTCGGTGATGAAACAAGTGTCCATGGACCCAAAGGTACAGCCTCCCTGCTCCTAGGCCACTCTATCAGAACTCCAGTCATAGGGAACAGAACTGTAGGTGTGAGGGAGAAGCAGACATTCTTCTGGGTCATAAAAGCAGTCTCAGTAAGTTAAAAATGATTTACCTTAAATATTTTCACTCAATTGAATAAAGCAAAAAGTTGTCTGGAATAGCCTCGAATAGTTAGAAACCACATACGCTTTTGAATAACCCTGAGTCAAAGAGGAAATCAAAAGATTTTTTTTTTTAAAGAGAGAGGGGGAGGGGGAGAGAGAGAGAGAATTTTTTTTTTTTTTTAAGAAAGAAACCTAAGTTTAGAAACACGATTTYTGTTGGATTTTAGCTTCTTAATATTTTTTTTTAAAGAGAGAGTGAGAGAGGAGAGAGAGTGAGAGAGAGAATTTTTAATATTTATTTTTTAGTTCTCGGCCGACACAGCATCTTTGTTGGTATGTGGTGCTGAGGATCGAACCCGGGCCGCACGCATGCCAGGCGAGCGCGCTACCGCTTGAGCCACATCCCCAGCCCATGAGCCACATCCCCAGCCCAAGAGAGAGAGAATTTTAATATTTTATTTTTTAGTTTTCGGCGGACACAACATCTTTGTTTGTATGTGGTGGTGCTGAGGATCGAACCCAGGCCGCACGCATGCCAGGCGAGCGCACTACCACTGAGCCACATCTCCAGCCCCGAAATCAAAAGATTTTTGAAAGTGTCTCAGTCAGGCACTGTGGCGCACACCTCAGCTCAGGAGGCTGAGGCAGGAGGCTGGCAAGTTCAAAGCCAGCCTCAGCAAAAGCCAGGCGCTAAGCAGCTCAGTGAGACCCTGTCTCTAAATAAAATACAAAATAGGGATGGGGACGTGGCTCAAGTGTCGAGTGCCACTGAGTTCAATCCCTGGAACCCCCCCCAAAAAAAGAAAAAAGAAGATGTCTTGAGATGAATGGAAATTAAAACAAAAACATGACACACCAAAACTTGTGGGATACAGCTAAAGCACATTTGGGAATTTTGTAGCACTAAAGGCCCATATAGAAAAAGAAGTATCTCAAATTAAGGAACACAAATTCTCCCTTAGGAAACTGAAAAGAAGAAAAAATGAGCCCAAAGTAAGCAGAAGAAAGGGGGTATTCTAGGTCAGAGAGAAAAGCCATCACATGAAGGACAGAAAAACACCAGGAAAACCACAAAACCTCGAAATGTGTCTTGGAGAAGGTAAGTGATTCATGATTCTTCAATCAGGCTGAACTGGGAAGAAGAGAAGATAGGAGGACGGTCAGTACGGGAGGTCATGAACGACTCAAAGGATGGGGAGCGCGGAGGGGCGGTCGCTCCATCCCCCAAAAGCTACCCAGCCCAGCGAGGAAGAAACAGAAACCCAAGTACCCTGCATCTGCCAAAGGAAAGACAGGTGCAGTTCAGACCCTCCCAGAGAGACGCCAGGCGGGCTGCAGTCCAGCAGGCACTCAGGAGAAGTGCTGCCCAGGCCCCCGGCTCCTCCAGCCCGCCAGAGCTGGGCAGCTTGGGGTCTCCGCTGACAGCGCTCCTGGTGGGACTCCCCCACCTGCAGGGGCCACCTTCTTGCCATGTGCCTGCTGGGTGGACGGAGAGCAAAGCCTGCCCTTGTCCATTGTCGTTTTGAGATGGGATCTGGCTGTGCTGCCCAGGCTGCTGGCCGTGCGCCCCCAGGCCGGGCCGCCCTCCTGCGTCAGCTGTGCTGGCCCGCCCTGCGAGTGCGTGCACAGGCACCGGGGCCCTGGCCCTGCTTCCGTTTTCTGGGTACGCATCCTCAAACAGAGCTGCTAGGAGGACAGTCAGGGAAGGTCCTGGGCTGGACTCCCCACCTCTCCGGGGCCTGCAGACTGTGCCGCCCAGCAGCGGCCCCCTTCACACCCCCTTTTCTTTGGGGCCTGGAATTAAACCCGAGGGGGTCTACTACTGAGCCGTGACCCCAGTCCTCCCGTGTTTCATTTTGAAAGAGGGTCATTACATTGCGCAGGCTGGCCTGGGACTCTGGATCCTCCCGCCTCAGCCTGCCAAGTAGCTGGGGCCACAAACAAGTGCCGCTGTGCCCGGCTTATTCCTCTTCTTATAAGGACATCAATCCCTTCAGACTGGGGCCTACCCTGACCTTGTTATCTTAGTATCTCCTTATAAACCCTGCCTCCAGATATGGTCATGTCGGGAGTTAGAGTTCCAACATGCAAATTTGGAAAGGACACAATTTACTTCACAGTAAGGAAACAATGGCAACCCTATGAGGCCAGCATTACCATGACACCGAGACCTGACAGATTCTGTTATCATTGTCACCATCATCATCAGTAGGGTCATGTTTCACTACAGGGTGCTCCACACTGAGCCAACCTCCAGCACTTTTTATGTTTTATTATGAGACAGGGCCTCACTAAGTTTCCCAGGCTGACCTCGAACTTGCAGTCTTCCTGCCTCAGACTTCCAAGTCACTGGAATTACAGGCATGTGCCACTGAACAGAGCTCAAGTGGAAATTGATATTTAAAAAGCAAACTCAGGGGCTGGGATGTGGCTCAAGCGGTAGCGCGCTCGCCTGGCATGCGTGCGGCCCGGGTTCGATCCTCAGCACCACATACCAACAAAGATGTTGTGTCCGCCAAGAACTAAAAAATAAATACTGAAAAAATCTCTCTCTCTCTCTCTCTCTCCTCTCTCACTCTCTCTTTAAAAAAAAAAAAAAAAAAAAGCAAACTCAGTTGGATTTTGAAGCCAGTCAGGGCAATACAGTGAAACCCATCTCAAAGGGAAAAAAAAAATTGCAACACCATTTACAATAGCATAAAAATTTAAGAACTAGCTGGGCACCATGGCACAGGCCTCTAATCCCAGCTACTGGGGAGGCTGAGGCAGGAGGATTGCAAGTTCAAGGTCAGCCTCAGCAACCTAGAGAGGCCCTGTTCATAATAAACTAAAGGGCTGGAGATGTAGCCCAGAGGGAGGGCACCCTGGGTACCACACGAGCACCAGAAAAGAAAAGGGAAAAAGAAGCAAGATGTCAATATGGGCACAGCCCCGATTAAAATGCCCCCCTCCACAGCTGCGGCCTCTGGAGAGGCACAGGGGACCCTCTACTGCCCCCCAGCGGTGCACTCCCCGTCCCGGCCACGCGGATGGACACCTGTGCCCACAGGCCCACCTGACGTCAGCGTCCAGCCTGTGGACTGGGTGGGCGGCCTTTGTGGGCCTGCGCAGGGGCACACACAGCGCAGTGTTAACTGCACCCCTGACAGCCCACAAGCCCAAGCCATCGGACCCCTGCAGGCCAAGCGTGTGGCCTCTCATGAGAAGGGGCTGGCCAGCACAGCCCCAGCCCAGCACGGGCTGACACAGTTCCAGGTCCCCACCTCCTCCGGGGAGGCGAGGGGCAGGCACTGAGGCTTTGCTGGTGGCCAGTCTGCCAGGGGACCAGCGATGGCGGGCTGGCGTGTACCCCCAGCCACAGCTCCAAGCAGAAAGCGCTTCCACTGCGGCGGTGAAGGTCTGCACGCGGCCCAGTGGGTCCTGCAGACCCTAGCAAACCGTAGCGCGCTGAGTGCAAGTGCCTTGGGTCTGGAGCGGGAGGAGCTGCACACGCGTGCCCCTGTCCCCAGGTCCAAGAGTGAAGGAGCCTGAGCGTGCTGGGCAGGAAGGACAGGCCGAGCCCCCGGGAGGAAGGAGGGAGGACGAGGACCAGGAGCCGAGCGCAGCTTCAGCGAGGGTTAAGCTGAGGAATTAGGGGTACCGCTCACGCGCCCACACACACGCCCACACACACACGCCCCCACACGCGCCCACACACATGCCTACACACACACTGAAGCACATGCTCACACACATGCTCACACACTTACACACGGACACATGCTTACACATGCTCATACACACTTTCACATGCTCATAAACGCTTACACACATGCCCATACGTGCATACACACTTACACTCATGCTCCTACACACATGCTCACACACACTCACACAAATACTCATGATCATACACACACACACACATGCTCACACACTCTTACACACACTGAAGCACATGCTTACACACATGCTCACATTCTCACACACTTACACATGCTCACTCACACACATGCTTACACAAGGCCCACACACTCAAGCACACATGCTTATACACTTACACATGCTCAAACACACACACATTCACACACTCACACATGCACCCACACCCACAAACTCACATGCTCACACACTCATACACTCACACATGCTTATACACACGCTGACACAATACTCACACATGCTTACACATGCACCCACACACGCTCACTCACATATGCTCACAGGCTCACACACTCACACATGCTTACACACACATTCACACAAGCTCATACATGCCACACACTCATGCTCACACACATGCTCACACATGCTTATACACACATGCACCCACATTCACACACATGTCCCACATGCTCCCACACTCACACATGCACATGCTCACACACATGCTCAAACACACATGCTCACACATGCTCACTCTCTCACACACATGCACACTCCCATTCTCACACACATGCACACTCACACCCACACTCACCCATGCTCACACACACTCATGCACCCACGCTCACACAGTTCACACACACATGCTCACAGACTTGCTCACTTGCTCACACACATGCTCACGCATGCTTATGCTCACACACAATCACAAATTTACAATCACAAACACGTTCACATGTGGTCATACACACACTCACGCACCCTCACACACAAGCTCACACACTCTTGCTCACAAACTCATACAATCATGTTCACGCATACTAGCTCACACACATGCTCACACATTCATACACATGCTCATATACTTACACATGCTCCACACACATGCAGTCACACACACATGTCCACAAACTTACTCACACATACACATACATACATGCTCATATACACTCAAACACACAAACACACACTAGCTTGTTCACACACAGGCTCACACACACTCCTCACACTCACATGATTACACTCAATACACTCATATACACAGCTCACACACTCACATGCACTCTCACACATGCTCACACTCACACATTTGCTCACACACATGCTCACAAGCTCACACACACACTTGCTCACACAAACTCACAGAAACACATGTTCACACACATTCTTACACATGCTCACATGATTACACATGCTCACACACACACAAACTTCCTCACACACTCGCTCACACACATACACACATGCTCACACTCATTCACACATGCTCATACACTAGCTTGTTCACACACACATAGGCTACACACACATGATCACAATGCACTCACATATACACGCTCACATGCTCACATGCACTTTCACACACATTCACACACACGCTCACACACAAACACGCCCACACACACACTAACACACTGAAACTCATACTGTCTCACACAGATACACATGCCCATACACCAACACAATTCACCCACATTCACATGCTCATACACATTTACACACACTGAAGTACAATCACACACATGCTCACATACACTCACACTGACCCACATACACAATCTCACATGCTCACACACTCCCATGTGGGCACTCACACCACTCACACTCTCACACGTCTCCTTCACCCTGGTCTGTGGAAGGGGCCTAGGACAGCCTGGGTCTCAGTGCCACCCAGAAAATAGAACGTGGGCTCCCTGAGAAGCGC